GGAAGGAAATTTTTTTGGGCCTTTGCACAAAATCTCTGCTGCAGGCCTCTCTGTCTTATACCCACTCAGAGCCTTTTGAGTGATTTTTTGGTTGGGAGAGGAGCTTTTTCAGAAGGTCCTATGGCTTTGAGCTTCGGGTCCGTGAGCGAGGGGCCCCTGAGAAGCAAGAATCTCGCGGCCCTATGTCCTGTGATCTTAGAACGCTTCCCATTTAAACGAGTAACTGTTTTGTGGACGCGCGGTCCCTTTTTTGACCTTTTGACCCCTGAACGAGTTCATAGGGTCATCAAACTTTTCCTCCCGCTAAAGGGACCCCTGACGATACGCAAATAGCACCCTCTAGTCGATCGGCCCTTTCTTGCTCCGCTTAGAGCACCGGTCGATCGGAGCGGCTTTGCGTCGGACGTCATTTAAACAGCCAGGCAGGGCATCATGAGCGTCCGCAGGTCGAGGGCGCCTGCCCCCTGCCTGAGGACCACATGAGGATGCTTTCCATGAATATAGTGGGTAAACGGACAAATAGTAAAGGGTCCATGGATGGGGGGAGGGGTCAACAGGTGATTGTCACCCCCTATAGGTGTCCAAAACCCCCCTATTCCGGGGGAAGCAAATCGGAGCATGCGGAATTTGGGGTAAGCAGAAACCTCCCAATCGTCCTTTAAATAACAGGCTAACGGGATCCAAATCCACCCTACGGTCCCTTCGGGTAATTATGCATCCATTGGCAATTTATAAGAATGGGCCTTTTTCCGCGAACCCTTTAAATGTAATTTGAGCCCCAGATACAGATCCCCAGTAAAGACTTTGTCTCAGACGGCCCCCGGGACAAGACCACAGGGATGCTTTCCATGAATATAGTGGGTAAACGGACAAATAGTGGGTTGGTGGGACGTGGGGGGAGGGGGCAAGCGGTCAGTGGGGGTCAAGGAGTTGTTCCGGCACAATAGCGGAGAAGTGGACAAATAGCATGTTCGTGGGACCTGGGGGGCAGGGGCAAGCGGTCAGCGGGGGTCAAGGGGACGTTCCGGCACAATAGCGGTGAAATGGACAAATAGTGGGTTCGTGGGACGGGGCCCACGTGTGACCCCCAAGAGAGATGTACAAATAGTACTTTGGTGGGACATACAGGCCCCTGGGGTAAGAGCCCCATTCATTCCCGGTAGAGAGATGTACAAATAGTACTTTGGTGGGACATACAGGCCCCTGGGGTAAGAGCCCCATCCATTCACTCAAAGGGAGAACGGTCAAATAGAAGGGTTTTGGGAGCGACTACCCCGTTTTACCCCTAAAAATGATTGAAAATGTACATTTAAAGGGT